CCAGTTCAGAAGGAAAGTGCAGAGGAGTAGAAAATACCCAGCTCCCTTCCCACACCCACAGAGACTCAGCCCACAAACTTGAGACTAAAAAGAAAGACATCATACAGGAAGCATGGAGCAAATGACTGAGATGGCCTGCTTTGGAGAAGTGGGGGACTGAAGGGATATCAGAGTCTGCAGTTGTTTGGAGGGGAAATCCACTGGCCCTCAGGGCTGTGGGCTCTGATAGCCTGGAGGCATGCTGTTGGGATTAGTGGCTGCCCACGTGTCCAAGAGCTGGCGGGACTGCTCAGGTGTGCTTGCTGTCTAGGGGCCTGGACTAGCTGGGACTTAGGTGCTGGGCGTGGAAGTCCAGGACACGGGTGACTCAGGTTCCTTCCGCCTTCTGCAGAGCAAGACAGTGCACAAAACAAGCATCTACAGCTTTAAGTCTCAAAGTCCTGTCTCAACTTCTGAACTTCCCTTTAGGGCAACTTCTTCCTGCCCCCAATGCCTACCTGCATTCCTAGCCTCACCCTAAATCAGTATTTCTGAAAAGGTTAGTTCTGGGTCTCACTGCATCAGAATTGGGGTGCATGTGTATTGGGGGCAGGGGATGGGGGCTGGACAAAAATGCTGATTGGTGGCTCCCACCCCAGGTTTCCCGAAGAGAGGTATCTGGCAGAGAGGCTCTGGAGCTGTCCTTTTCAACAAATACCCCTTGGGATTCGTAAGTTTGAGGATGGCTGGCTGAACGGTGTGACTGAGGAAATGAACAGGCCCTTCCCTGTCGGGCTTCTAGTTGCCAGAAATTTCTCTCTGATTTGGCTCTGCCCCTTGTTCATTCATTGCAGCAAACATTTCTTGAGTCTGTGAAAAGCCCTATGGGGCCTGTGTGGAATCAGCCACCCAGACTCCACCCTGAAAGGAGCTTGAAAATGGCCAAGTGTAAATCCATGAGAGGGACCAAGAAAACCTGTCACTCTTGATACCAACTACCCATAGTCAAATTGTGCGTGTTGGGGCCGTGTGGAGAGAGGAAGCTCCTTCCACTGAGGACCGAGACCCCTTGGCAGCAGGCACGTAGACTCTGTGGGTATCACCTCATCTCTGACCCCCAGTGTCCGGCCTCCCCGCCCCTCACTCCCTATTAACTGGGTAAACAAATCCTCCCCACAAGGGTGTTTGTAAGGATTACACCCAGCACCCCGCTGCTTGCTAAAATATGCACCCACTCCCCTTGCCCCTCTCCCCACCTTCCCGGGTTCCTCCGGACCTCCTGCCCAGGTAACCCAGTGAATGAGAGCATTCCAGGCACCAAATCTGGGCTTATTCAAATCAGTCTTAAAGGTCTAGAGCTGTATTCTCTAGTATGTAGCCACTTAACCAAGTGTGGTCATTTAAAATTAAGTTAATTAAAGTGAAATCAAATTGAAACTGTAGTTCTTAGCTGCACCAGCCCCATTTCGAGTGCTCAGGAGCACATGTGACTTATGGCTGCTGGATTGGCTGGCCCAGATGGAGGATGTTTCTATCCCTGCACAAAGTTCTACTGGGCACTCAGTCTAGAGGGCTGAGCAGTTTCTTCTAGAGGGTTTCTGTTGCTTCTTCCTTTACCCTCTGTGATGCCAGGGTTCTTGTTTGCGGAGTCGAAGAAGGAACTTAGCAAACAGTCAAGGTAGGAGAGCCCGGGAGACTTTTATTGAGAGTACAATGAGAGGACAGACAGAGCTCGAGCCAGGAGGGGACAAGAGAGCCCGTGGTGGTGCATTGTCTAGGGGTTTTATAGGCAGTTGAGGATATTTGGGAACATGAAAAAAAGCTTAGGGATGTGGACTTGTTAGGTGGTCCCTGAATATTCAGAATTAACTTAACATAAGGAATTCCCTGCCTTGATTTCTCTCTGGGACACCAGAGTCTTGGTCTGGGAGCATATCAAAAGGCCGCCTGCCCAGCTCCCCAGGTGGGCTGAGGTATTGTCTGTTTGCTAAAGAGTAAGTTAAGAATCTTCTTAAACTTCCTGGGTGTTAAAATGCAATCTTATCTTTAAGGTAGAATCATTCCTGCCTTTTACTATGTTATTTACAGCTGGGTCTGCAGCTAAATTAGTTCCCCAGTTTGCAAACTCTCTTCATCAGATCTGAAAGAGGAAAGATGGCACATAGGCCTGGGCCTTTAGCATGCTAAAGTGAGTCTTACACATGATTACAAATGATTAGCATAATAAGAACATGTGCTATTCTTCTTTATCTGGGGACTATTAACTGTTCTCACTGAAGAATGATTCTAGAGCTTAATGTTCCACACAGAGTTTTGGTAGGGGGTTTCCTTGCATGTAGTTAGATTACTCTGACTGTAAATATCCTGCTTTGCTTTTTCCAGAGGCCCTCACCCTGTTCTGGCTAAGACCATGGTCCCTGTCTCATCTGGACCTTCTTTCTTGTACCTGTACACAGCTCACCTTGTACAGGGGTTGCGGGAAATCAATGCTGTTGCTGCGTTTAAGAGTTTATTCAGCATCTCTCTGAGGACCATGGCCTGGATGTTGTGATAAACTGCTTCAAAGCCCCTTGGTTTGAGAACATCTTAAGTATTTTTTTACAAGGGGTGGCTGCAGGGAAGAGCTTATGCCAATCAATACATCATAAAAGATAATGAATATTCTGAGGAAGTAGAGATTAGGATGCTAATTATTCTACTTAGGGGCACTAGAATCAGCCCAGTTTATCTTTTTGTGCGCATGGTGGGCTAATCTTTTTCTGGTCTTGGGTGAGGGGTGGAGGGGCGAGGACTGTGAGTCTCACAACAGAGGCAGGAGTGGCTGCAGGGCATCTTCACGCCACAGCAGGAGCCGACCTGGCTGACTCCGGTCCTCCGCAGCCTGCACAGCTCTGTCTGCCTGTTGGACCACCGTGGGGAACCACAAAATGCCATTTTATTTCACCTGGGGAATAGTTACGGCTTTGGCTCCAGACAGACCTCTGCCCAGCGCTCCTCCCACGTAGAAATGGTGTGATCTTGGGTGAGTGGTTTTACTTTTCAGAGACTCACTGTCCTCGTCTGGAAAAATCTAAATAATTTTACTACCTCACAGGATTTTTATGAAGATAAAATGAGCTAATAAGTAGGGTGTTATACAGTGTATAAAAAAGTCCCTAGGGCAGAGCAAGAGCTTAAATAGTTGTAGCTAATAATGTGTGTATTTGAAAAAAATATAATGAGGAGAGTCCGTGTCCTGAGAACCCAGTGAGGACAGAGTATGGAAGAGGAGGGAGCCGTTGGCGTTTCAAACCTCGCCCAGAGGCCAGCCGGGAGGACCACAGAGACTTGGTCACAGTGGACTGAGCAGCAGACAGGCCTTTGGAGACATTGACGTGCGGGGTTCTGGTGAAATGGTGGAGGCCAGAGGCTGACAGGAGTGGATTCATGAGGGAATGGGATGGGGGAGTCTGGAGACAGCAGACAGAAGCCACTGTTCCGAGGATTTTAGCAGTAAAGGAATAAAGAAACGGAGTAGATGCTGGAGAAGTGGGGTCAAGAAAAGGGATTTTTAAAAGATGACTGTAACATCAGTACGTTGCATGCTGATGGAGATGATCTAGCGGACATCAAGAATTGAGAGCAATGCTCTTGAGTAGGCAAGAGGAAACAGGCTCAGAGAGGTTAAGTCACTCGCTTAGGATAGCACAGCAAGGAAGTGACAGACCACGTGCTGGGTCTCGCTCTGAGTCTTGTTCTTTCTACTCTATCATGTGTGTCATCAACGACTCCTCCCTTTTCTCCAAGCACAGGAGTGTCACGGCCACCTGGCTTCACAGCATCTTCCTTAGCCCAGCACCATGCCTGTTGGCGTGGCAGGGACAGCCAGCCCGGCTTTCGCCCTGGGGAGTGTCTGCTGCCTCTTAGTACTGAAGAATCCTAAAGGTCCTGGCCATCACACTGCAATCCCTCCTCCGTAGCCATTCACATCACTTTCGGTCAGGGTAATGTTTTGCAATCACGAGTTGCTATAAATGAGCTTTCTCTGTCTCTAAGAGAGGCAGCTGGTGTAGGAGAGAAAAAACAGCTCTGGGTCAGACAATCCTGACCTGTCTCAGGCTGCCCACTTGGCCGGCCAGCTGACCTTGGGGCAAAAATCTTCCCACCTGGGTGGATTCTTTCTGAAGCTGTAACAAACCAAAGCAGGTGCCTGATAGATGTTACTGATCCTACAAGCCCATTTTGATGGGACGAGGGGAGGCTCTAGTATGAGGATTTTCACAGAAAAAGGGAAAGACCCATCAATGCAGTGGGGTAATAATTACAATTGCCCATGTTTTTGGAGAAATCAGGTATATCCTGAAAGTAGTGCTAAGGTTTTAACGTTAATTATCTAATGTAAGTCTCACAACTACATTTTGAAGTAGGTATTATTATTTTCATTTCATGGGTGGGAAAAGTGAAGCTTGAAGGGACTGAGAAACTAGGCCAAAGTCACACAGCTGGTAAGTGACTAACTTAGGTGGGAACTTGGGTGTGTCTGAATCCTGGGTTTGAACCTTTGACCATTGAACCCAATGGACTGGAAAGAGTTCATTTATTTCTATGTGACAGAGAGTGTCCTCTGTAATTTTTTTGGTATTTCATCATATGGAGGCACCAATTAATTTGTTTTTATTAAAGTATCATTGATATAGAATCTTATGATGGTTTCAAATACACACCACAGTGGTTCAACATTCACCCATATTATGAAGTCCTCACCCCACTCCAGTGCGGTCACTGTCTATCAATGTAGCAAGATGCTACAGAATCATTAACTGCACTGTTGGCACTGCACTACCATCCCGTGTACCCAGTCTCCTTCTGATGGACATTTAGTTGTGTCCTATCTTGTCATTACAGACAGTGCTGTGGGAAATAACTGCATATCCCTCTTGTCGCATGAATGCCAGACCATCTGTAAGACAGATTCCTTGCAGGGGAATCTATGGGTGGGAGGGCACATGCATTTGTAATTCTGAGAGAGAATGCAAGTCACACAGTTTCGTATTCCCCAGCAGCAATGGGGGGAATACCTGTGTCCCACACCTTTGCCAAAACTCTGTGCTTAAACTGCTATCTACACAGAAAATGTGTCTGTGTGGAATTTGCACTTATCTGAGTGAGGTCAGACAGATTTTCCCATGTTTAAGAGACGTTTGCATGATTTACTTACATGAACTGCCTGTTCCTATTCATGGCTTATGTTTTAAATTGGGTGGTTGAACTTTCTCTTATTGTTTATAGGAGCCCTTAACATATTAGGGTATTTAGTCCTTTATGATATAAGTTGTGAATATTTTTTTTCCAGTTTATTATTTGTCTTTTGAGTGTTTTTTTGGTGGTGGGGGAATGGTTTTTGCCATGCAGATTTTTAAATAAATGTCATTGGGTTTATCAGTCTCTTATGACTTGGTTAGGTTTGGTATCATACTTAATAAGATCTCTATACCAATATTATTTTAAAAGCTTTTTCTTTTTCTTTTTTTTTGTCTGGTACTATTAAGAGTGTTTTACATGTAGATATTTGATCCATTTAAATTTACCATGGAGTGAGGTATGAGGTATGGCTCTAACTTTTTCCCCCAGTTATAATTTGCTGACCCTTTACAGTTTATTGTAAGACTAGTCCATCTTTTCCCCACTGATTTTGAAAGTCAAAATCTACCTTTAAAATCTACTAAATTTTGTTGTATACTTGAGTTTATAGTGCTTCTTGGTATAGTGAGTAGTTAAAGGCACAAATTCTATGACCTCATTGCCCTAATTAGGTACATAACCGGTCTCTTCTATAAGACAGACGGTTGGAGCGATGTCAGTTAACTAATCCAGTGCATGCTTGGAATAACGTCTATAGGTAGCCAACACTCGAGACTAAGCTCTTTTTAAAAACTTGTGTAAAATGCACATGGCATAAAATTTGTTATCTTAGTCATTTTAAAGTGTACAGTTCGATGGTGCAGACTAAGCTATTTTTGGTTACTACTATTTCTGAACTTTTCAGTCTTTTCCATTGTTTTGTTTATTTATGCCAGTACCATACTATTTTAACGACTGTAGCTTTGTAATATGCTTTAAAGTTTGGACTAATCCCCCTCTCATTTTGCTTTTTCAGTATTGTCCTGGCTGTCCTTGCTTGTTTACTTTAGCATTTGAACTTTAGAATCGGCTTGCCTAGTTAAAAAAAACAAAAAAGTCCTGTTGGTATTTTTATTAGGATCAAGTAAAATTTGGAGATTAGCCTAGGAGCACTGACATTTGTAATGCCAGGCCTTCCTATCATAGAACACAGTGGACCTAATGTGGCTTATTTCTGAGGAGTCTGGGCTGGGGCAGGAAAGCCGGAATCCTGGATTTCCAGTTTCCTTGAGGGTTGATGTGTCTGCTCCTCCATTCTGAGCTGCTTCCTTCTGGGAGACGTGGGATGAGCTGCCGCTGTGTGAGTGTGGGCCTGTGTGCTGGTGGGGAGGGGGCCACAGGCTTGAGCTCAGGCAGTTGTGGGAATGTGGGAGGGGAACTTTGGGACTTGTATAGAGATGTGTATGGCAATATAACACACAGAAGAGTGTGCTCAGCATATATAGAAGAGCTTGATGAATTTTCACACACGGAGCATACCCATGTAACCACGTATCGGACAGACAGAACGTGGCCAGCCCTGGCAACCTCCCCTTGGGTCCCCCTCCAGTCCTTCCCTACCATGCCTCCACTTGGTGACTTCTGAAGCCTTTTGCTTTGCTTCTTCCTATCTAAAGGTGGGGAAGTGGGAGCTGGGGATGGCTGGTGGATACGGTTTGTGATGGGAAGGGAGATGCACATCAGGTCCCTTCTTCCCACTACCCTCCCCTACCCCTCCACAAACATGGAAGACCCAAGTGGGCCAGGCTCCTGGTGAGACTCTGAGGCCAGGGGGAGACAGGACCCTCTGTGCTATGCCCCTTGGAAGGCGGTGGGCTGTGGCATAATGCAACCGAGGCCCAGGGCTCTAGGCCTGGCTGCCGTACACACTGGCTGATTTCTCGCCCTGGTTCTCCTCTATAATAATGGACAGGTTGGCCTGAATTGTCCTTAAGGGACTTTGGAGCCCTAGAAGAGCGACCCTTAACTCAGCTCCTGCTCTGTGACTATGACCCCACCACAGCCTCTTCCTGCACCCAAGTGAGTCCTGAGTATGTCCATCTGTGGGCATCTGTGCCCTTCTTCACACCCTGCTCAGTCCTGCCTTTAATCTCTTTATTTCTCAATCTGTTTCTTGGGGTTCGGTGGAGGTGGGGGTGTTGGATTGTTTGTGCTCCTTAGATATCTTTTCCTCTAATTAGTTTATAATCTCTCGGGGGTGACCCAGGCCAGACCTTCTGGGCCCGGGGCCAGCTGTCTGATGCTGCCAGGGGAGGATGAAATGTTTTTCTCTTGAGGAGTTGGTCACACGCGCGGGTCTCTGAGTCAGCATTCAACGCTACCTTTTTATGGGTCCAAAGGAGCCTCCCAGGCCATCTCTCCAACCAGAGTTTAGTCCATGGTGCGGACAGAGCGGCAGGCGGCGCCAAGGTAAATACTGACTCCGCCAAATACAAGACAAATACAAGCAGGTACAGAAGGACAAACACATTAGAGGGAGGGGAGGCGTGGGGGCCGCCCCAGGAGCCAGCGCCCTGAGAAGAGGGGCTGTGGCAGGGTGGGGTCGCAGCTGAGTTCTAGAAGGTGGTGGGGCCACGCCTTAGAGCCTGGGGCCCGGCCTCTCCCTGCATGGCAGGGGGGCGTGCTGAGAGTCCTGGGGAGGAGCAGAGGAGCAGCCGGTCGTGTGTGAGGCTGGGAGTCAGAGGAGGGGGCGCTTCTCCCCAACACTCATGCGAGTGCCGCTGCTGTGGGGCAGGACGAGGGGGCCAAGCTGCTTGGCTCCTGCGCGGGAGGCTTGCTCCGGCCCTCCACAAGCCCCTCCTTCCTTCCCCTCGCCTCTGGAGGGTGGAGAGCTGGAGAGACGGGAGAAGCGCCCGGAAGAGGAAAGGAAATCAGGGAGGGAGCAGTATGGGGGCGGGGGGCAGCCCAGAGAAGGGGGACCTGGGGGTGCAGCGTGGAGGGCACCTGACTGCAGGAGAGAGAGGGGCTCTGGTCAGACTCACCTGGAGCCAGTGCAGACTCTCCGTGAACCTGGGCAAAGCCCCAACTTCTCTGAGTTTCCCTCCTCACGGGAAGGCAGGATGCCGGCGCCAGTCCTTACGTGGACAATGGAGGCGAGGGACCAGAGACCACTGGGGGCCGGTCCTAGGCCCTGGGGGCGCTCAGAACAGCCCTCCTCAGCATGTGCCTCCTTGTCATGGACTGTTTTGAGCCTAAAGGTGACTGAGACCTTGAGGGCTCACAAGATGTTTTTGCCCCTCTCTTAACTACCTAGAAGGATCTAATTTGGGATTTTGCACAAAATAGCTTATTACCAGAGGTAAATTTTATCTGAGTGGTCCATCTGTATGGCAGGACAAACATCTAATAACCGAATACCTGCTCTTCCTTGCCCTGTGCATTGTCCGCCTCCCCTTCGAAGCTCCAGGCTGCTACCCCATTCCTCAGATCAGGATGGCGTACAGACCACGTTTGACCTTTCCGTCTTTGAACCTTTCATGTTTATGGTGTTCCTGCACATGTGAAATTAAATTTGATTCTCTCCCCTTAATCTGTCTCATATCAGTTGAGTTCTTAGCCAATAGAGGAGAACCTTTAAGGGCAGAGGAACATTTTCATTCCCAACTGGCCCATGGGACCAATTCCGTGTTGGTTTCCATTTGGACACGGGGAGCCTGGAGATTTCTCAACAGCCACCTCCTTCAGATCAAGGTCTTTATTGCTGAGGGGGAACGGGGGCTTCCTCCGTGACCCTTTCTGAAATCTTGTGCCTCTGCACCATAAAAGGTTGGAGGTTGTTCTGGGCTGCCAGCTGGCCTGGCCATCTGGCCCCCATGTCTGCTCAGAAACTGGGCGGTGGAATTAGCAGGCATGCGCTAAGCCTGTGTCCTCGGTTGCACGCTGGGCAGCTGGTTCACCACTTACATAAGCGGGGCCAGGAAGCTGAACTTGTTTTTGCTGGCAAGAGCAACAGCAGGCTGCAAGAGAGTTGAGAAATATGTGTCTCCATGTGTGTGTTTTTCTGTGGTTGTTGACATTTGCAAATTTACTTGAAGAGGGAAAGAGTAGAAAAACAAAGCTGTTTGGGTGTCTGGCACCCGACTTTAGGTCCGGAAAGGGGAGGAACCCCACCTCCCAGAGGTGTACCACAAAATCCCTGGCCGTGGTGGGTGGGGGAAGGGGGCAGTGCCCCTGGGAGCAGGATTACTTGGGCCTTAGGTGCCTGGAGGTGTGGGATTGGTTGCCTAGGGTTATTAGGACCTAAACTCTCTTCCCTTCAGGAATGGGAGGCAAGGGGTGCTGTGGGAATTCCCTTCCCTAGAGTCCTCCAGGGAGAGGAGAAGGCTCTGTGTGAGGGCACTGCTGGGGTGATCTAGCTGTCGTCCCTGCCCAAAAAGCATCAATTATTAGAATAATAAATCCATACATTAAATACATGTTTTTAAGCTGGGGTATCCTCTGAGATAAACAGACACAGACATGGTTCCTGCCTTCTGAGAGTTAATGATTCAGGGTGACAAGATGCTAAACAGAGGAAGGGGGGCGCATCAGAGACCTTTGGGTAGTAGTCTGAGCCCTCATCTCACAGAGAGGGCAAGCGGGAGCTCTTCCAGGGGCTGGGGAGAGCTGGGACAGTCCAGGGCTGTTTCTCTCTGCCCAGCTGCCTCCCACTCTAAGAGATGTACTGTATAGTAAATGACAAATCAAGATGGCATTTCGGTGTCAGCCCAACCCTATCCAGTTAATGACTCAACTGGGACAGACGGGACATCAAGTGCTTTGACAGTGGAGGACATTTTGGGAGGTTTGTTTCAGGACGGTGTCTTTCTGAGCTCAGGCCCAGGTGAGGCACTTTCATTGTCTCTGCAGAATCCTTTTTCTTGGTGAGGAACCTGGGATGAAGGGTGCTGCCGCCTTGTATCTGACATTGGCTTGGGTAGGAAAGGAAGGCTTTGTGGCTGCCCCCTCCCCTCCCCTGCCTCTGTGATGCTTTGTGTGATGCACTCGGGGGCTGGGTGAGAGGGTGGCAGGGAGAGAGACGCAGCGGGTTCATTCTCAAGGTGACTGAAGATACACGGAAGGAGCAGTGCTGGCTCTTGTGTGGAGGCCGGAGCAGGAGGTGGGGCAGGCACTGAGCGGAGATACCCGTCCTCTGGGGCTTTCACTTCTCTATGTCTTTGCATACTGTTCCCTCTTTATAGGGTGCCATTCCCAGTGTGGGGGAAAAAATTACAATATTTCCAGAATCCCTTGCCTGGCCTTAGTACATCTCCACATCAATAGATGATTACAAGGCTGGGGAGAGCAAGGGTCTCTCTGGACCAGAGAGGTTTGGTGGGGTCCCTTTTTACAGCCGGGAAGTGGACAACTGCCTGTAAACAATGAATGGGTTTCTCCCACTTTATTTCTCCCTTTGACTGATTTTGGCTTCAAAGGTAATTTGCCCCAGGCTGGGAACTTGCTTTCCCCGTGGAGTTGCACGGTGGCTCCACTTACCAAACTTCCATTCATTTCTCAAGGCCCAGCTCATTAGTTCTCTCCCCTTGGATTCTTCCCTTTTAGAATGATTTGCCCCCCTTCCGGCTCCCTCAATATTTTGGGGACATTTACATCAGGATGACCTATATTAGAGGGAGTTTCAAGTTCTCTATGAGATTGTGTGGGGTTTAAACAAGATTAGACTGTGGAAAAGAGAGAGGCGTGTTGGTACACAGTAGGTGTTCAATAACTATCAGTTGTCTCTCCTGGATCAGGATTCCTGACCTTGCACATGATGGGTTCTCCACACAAAAAGTTCTTGAATTCTTAACTGAGGGGACTGGCACAGGCTTGCAACCCTGGCCCCAAATGACTGAGCGATTGCTCAAGGGCAGACGCTCAATTGCATGCTCTTTGTTAAATGTCAGAGTGCGAGGGCCAGCCCTTCCCTGCCCTCTGTTCCGCCTGACCCCGCCTCCCACCAGGGTGGGAGTGAGAGAGTCGCTGGGCACATCGGAGAGCACACATCCTAGGAGCCGGAAGTGTTCTTGGGAGCCTGCTCCACACCTGTTCCCTGCTGTGCCTCTTCCCTTTGGCCCTTCCCCACCAGGGAGCCTACTTCCGGAGGACTCTGCAGACTGCAGGGGACAGACAAACAGGGCCAATAGGGAAGAGTGGTGACCATGTGTCCACCAGGAGCTCAGGCCAGCAGGGCTGTGGGCAGGGGTGAGGAGTACAGCGGGAGTGACGGAACACAGAGCTGTGGGAGGTGAACCTCTCTGGTCTGGGAAGGTGTTCTCAGAAGCCGCTTATGCTGAAAAATCCACTTGCTGTCCACCCCATTCCCTGGTTTCCATTGCTCCCTGCTGCATCTGTCCCCTCCTCCCTAGGCAGACCCAGGCTATGTAGCTTCTTTGTTTAAAATGTATGTTCTTAGTATAAGAGCAATGCAAATAACTTACAGAAAATTCAAAACAGCAGAAAGATGGAAGGAAGAGCAAGGAATGACCCTAGCCCCATTGTTTGGAGAAGTGGACAGTGGCTCCAGGAGGGCATCATTCCTTCCTCTTCAAAGAGAGGCCCGAGAGGCCCCCCTGTGGTGCCCGGTGTCTGGGGCACTGACTCAGGTTAGGGTCGGGAGGCAGGGAGTAGGGGTGGGGGTTGGGGGGGTGGCACTGCCCACTGCGACTTGCACAATTCCATTCTCTTGCCTCCTGTCCTCAGAGTATTTGACTGTGATTATCCTGCATAAAGTGCTTTAAACAGCATAGTTAACATAGCATTGTTCACAGGTTATATAACAAAGGAATATATTTTGAAGAAGGGCAGGGACAGGCAATCCTTGCCAACAGAGTGGTTTATGATCATTCATCATGAAAAAAAAAAAAGACTCTTTAAAGAATCAGAGAACCATTACTCAAGTTCTTTGGCAGAGGAAGTGGCCATTACATTGCTCCTGCAGCTCTGCTTTTGTGGAAGAGAAAAAAAAAAAGGCTTTTGATTTGCTGTTTCTCTGAGTTGCCTACTTTGGCCATTGTTAGAGAGAGAGGGCAAGAACACAACAGCCCCTGCTATTGTTCACGCTGGTCACTAAACATGGCAAGAGCTTCCATCTGAACTGGGGGTCAGGGAGTGACCAGAGAAGCACATTCCCTGGAAGTGGCGAAGGCAGAAGCAGAGAAGGGAGCTCCCTCTGGCTCCAGGCTCGCATCTTCTTTCCTCAGCACCCCCTGCCTGTGATGAGCTGGCTGCTCTGGCCTTTACATTGCACGGCCCAAGGGGGCACCACTTAGAGCACCGTGTCACCCGTGGCGGGCTCCTGGGAGTTTTCAGTGCGGAGGCCCTGTCCCTGTGGGCGCGCCTCTTAGGCCCCCTGCATTAGATAAATAGTTATGAAGCCCCAACTGAGCTCTGATGAGGGCCAGTGGGAGCTCCGTCTCACAGTGGCGTTGGGGAGGGGAGCTGTCATATACGCTACTTATCCCCCCTCATCTGAGGGTTCGCTTTCTGTGGTTTCAGTTGCCTGTGGAGTCACCAGGGCCCAGAAACAGGTGATCCTTCTGCAGAAGGTCAACAGTAGCCTAGCGCCTTGTCACAATGCCTGCATCATTCACTTCAGTTCATTGATTTGGCCTTTTCTGTGGCCAAAATGCCTTCATGTAGGCATTTTGCCACCTCGTATCATCACAAGAAGTATGAGTATATTAGAATAAGGCATTTTGAGAGAGGGAGAGAAACCGCATTCATATAACTTTCATTGCAGTATATTGTTTTGATTGTTCTCTTTTTATTATTAGTTGTTACTAATCCCTTCCTGCGCCTAATTTATAGTTAAGCTTTATCGTAGGAGAGTCTGTACAGGAAAAAACCTGGTATATATGGGGTTCAGTACTAATGTGTTTTTGGGCATCCACTGGGTGAACCCTGTGGGCAAGGGAGGGCTCTGAGGTTGAGGACAGGGTTGTGTGAAACGTGCCAATGAAAGGATGAGCCATTCAGGCTCCTTGACTCCCTGTGTGGACTTTCAACCTGTCCTGTGTCTGTTGTGTATTGGTGCCTTGTGAACTCTGATTTCTGTTCACTAGCTGATGGAGGGGTGTTGTGGGCACAGCATGGGGGGCTGCCGCCTAGCAGACAGTCCTATTTTAGCAGCGTCTCCACCTTTGTTCCTATAGTGGGGGTAATTTGTGCATGAACTTGACATCCATGTTAGGTTTGGTCCTTATGACTGCTTTATTAAGTGGAAAGAGGGGAAGTGAAAATTGCATCATAGTGATCTGAAGTGTCAGTGGGTCTTCTGAACTAAACCTCACTCAGGCACAGGTGGAAATCATTACATAGACTGGGTGTGGCCAGCAGCCTCCATCAGGCGCTCACTGGACTTAAACACCATTGGACTGTGTGTTCAATTATGAAGAAAAAGGAATATTTTACAGCAGTGAGAAGGAATGAACTATAGCGACCCAGAGACACAGTGAATGACAAAAGCATGCTGCAACTATTTATACACAAGCCATTTATGTAAGCTCAAAGCTCAAGCAAAGGTAAGAAAAATGGAGAGATCCACGAGTAGTGAGCCTACTTTTAAAAGCAGGGTAATGTTAAACCCAGAATATAACACTGTATAGGTGGAGAGGTGGGGGAGACAGATGCACAGAGGGAGCTTCAGAGACGGTGTAGTTAGTTTGGGAGGAGCTTGGGAGTGTTTCATGCTCCATAACTTTCATATAAATTACATATATTACTTTGCATGCCTTCAATATTACAGAATACATTGAAAAACTACTTGAAATGCTATATATATCACTGCTTATGTGTGATATACAGGAGTTTTGTGCTGGAATTAGGACTTCTAATAGCTCTTTTAAGCCCTCTGGGCAAGGAAGTACCCTCAGTGGACTTGGTCTTCTGGGGCTCGGGGTTTTGCTGCTGTTTCAGGGAACCCTGTGCCCTGTGTCCCAGCTCTGCAACAGTGGATGCACTCTGCACCTTCTGTCCTTGAGGGCAGGGTCTTTCAGCTGCCTAATTGTGTCTTCACCAGTGCCTGGCTCTGGGGGCCTCCCCGAATGTTGTGGAATGTAGGACAGGAATTCCTGGCCTATGGTTGGGGAAAGTGAGGCAGAGGCCCAGACCTGGCTGGCCGCCCAGTGAGATTGAACCGTTTTCTCACCCAGGGTCCAAGGATCTAGGAGTGATGAGAAACAATGCCCTAATGGCTGGCTGCGGCCCCGCCCGTGCATGGGTCCCTCACCCACCAGCCTTTGGGGTGGGAGGTGCCAGGGTGAGAGGCACTGGGAGAGACTCTCTCCCAGTGGTAAAGTGAGAAGGGACCTTGAAGGGAGTCTGTGTAGCCAGGTAGGGCTGTGGCAGGCAGAAGCTGTCTCTGTCTGTCTGATGCCCGTGTCCCTGGTCCCTGCTCTGTGGCCAGTGTGGGTCTGGACAACTGGCGTCCCCAGGCTTTGGGAGTGTTATCCTCCTGGGAGCCACTGATCCTCAGCCCCTCCTGTCTGGCAGCCTCAGATGCGGTGGGAGGAAGGAAAGTCTGCCAAATGAGGTAAAAGCTCCCGAGCAAGAAGGCTTTGCAGGTCAGAGACACACCGGTGCTTGTACCCCAGGCCCAGGAGGAGCATGGGCAGCACATGAGGCCAGGTGCCCAGGCTGCTGCTGGGCCTTTCTGAAATCTTTGGCCGCATTTATTGCTGTTGCTTGCTAATAAATGGTTATGCATTTAGTTTCAAGGACCTAGTGTGCTCAACATGAAACTGGCTGAATTCCCTGGCTTCAGTTCCCTCGGCTGGTTGGACTCATTTAATTAATTGGTTAGACTACTTTCACACTAGATTCTATGAATCTATTTAACTTGTACTAAAAACACTTTACTTGTTCCTTTAATGTTTAATATCCTTTTCTTTGAGTAGCATGCGCATGAGTTTTCTGGGGGCAGGGAGCACATTTAATCTTTTTTTTTACCTTTTAATTTGGTCCCTAGAATAAAAGTAGCATTAACCTAAGTAGTTTAATAGATGGATGTAGGGTATTGTAGGGGACTTTGAACAGCACCGGGAGACCAGGTTTACATCTCAGCTGTGTAGCTAACTCACTGGTGGTCTTGGGCAAGTCTCCTGATTCTCTTTGCCTCAGTTACTCTCTGTACAATGGGCCGCCTCCCATGAAGACTCAGGGATTCTGAGCCTTCCTGTGTGCTCATGTATCTTGCGTCCTGCTTGGGTACCTGGCACTCATTTCTACATGCATTCATTCATTTGCACGTTCATCTAGTGCTCAGTGGGCCCCTGCCATGTGCCAGGCAACAGAAAAGAAAGGAGCACAAAACAGGTTGCCTGTTCTTGTAGCAGTGGGAGTTTTGAAGAGAAAGCAGATCCAGAATTGGAAATTATAGGGCAGCATGTGGTGGGTGACATGGTAGGGAAGGTCACACCCAAAGGGGGCCTAATCTAGCTGGAGGGATAGGGGGAAGGCCTCTGGGGAAAGGATATTTAGGCTGAGCCCTGAAATAGGAGGAGGTGGTATGGGGATGGGGTGGGGGAAGAGGGAGTGTAAGAAGAATCAGGGGGTGCTGAGAGGGAGGGACTCTAAACTTCCTGAGGGCAGGTAGGGAGAGATGAAGCCACAAAGGTCAGCAGGGCAGGCGGTGGGAGGCCCTGTGGGCCAGGCCTCGCAGCTTGGGTTTCATGCTGTGGACAGTGGCAGGCCCTTGAAGGGTTTAAGACCAAAGGAGTGGGGTGGCCAGATTGCATCTGTGGAAGGCCCACTTGGGCAGTGGGGTGGGGAGGCCACTGGCATGCCATTGCCTCAGTCCAGGCGGAGGGGACAGTCGTCTGCACCAGTGGATGGGCTTAAGAGATGTCTAACACTGAAGCCTCTTGTGGCTTCCCAAGTCACACACACAGTCCTTTCAGGGGGCTATGGGCTTATGGAGTGTCTTCTCCTTCCCCAGAGTTGGCGAGCGACGTGCTGAGCAGCCTGTTGGAGTCCACCGTTACCCTGACCTGCCCAGGTGGGGATCAGGAAGACAATGCCACCATTCACTGGGTGTACAGGAATCAGGTCGCAAACTCACATGGGGACAGACTGGTTGGCGAGGGAAGGGGGCTGCTTCTGAGGTCGGTGCAGCTCCATGACTCTGGAAACTATTCGTGCTACCAGGACGGCCGCCCGGCTGGGAGTGTGCATCTGCTGGTGGATGGTGAGTTGTCTTCAGAGGTCTGGGGCGGCATTGTGCATTCCAGACAGAGTCCCTGCTTGACCCGTTAAACTCCTGTTACTTCCTTGGCCCGAGGATTTCAAGGAAAGGCCCACTGACGTCTGCCAGTGAGACTGACGGAGGTTCCTGGTGGGTGGAGGCATGTGGCTGATGGGAACACCGTCCAGCTGGCCTTGTGCAGTTAGGGCTTGAGGGGGACTGGTTAGTGTCATAGAGGCTGGAGCAGGATGGGCTGGGTTTGAATCCTCCTCCTTCCCAGCTTAACTTCTCCACCCCTCAGTTTTCTTGTTGGTAAAATAAGGTTAATTTTATTACCTTGACACAGCGTTGTTGAAAAGATGTGTATGCATGCGGAGGGCGTTGAAAACTCTGCATACTAGCTTTCCAATGTTCAGTTCTTATTTTTAGAATGCTCCGGCTTCTAGATACCCCCGTGCCAGGCCCTTCCTTCCCTGGTCTCTCATGTCATTCTTTCAGTGATAATGTGAGAGAAAGCAGGGTCATCATCATTATTATTCTGCCCTCACTTAGTTTTGTAGTAGGAAACTGAAGAGGGCTGGGACTTGCTCAAGGTCACTAGTCGTCTGCACCAGTGGATGGGCTTAAGAGATGTCTAACACTGAAGCCTCTTGTGGCTTCCCAAGTCACACACACAGTCCTTTCAGGGGGCTATGGGCTTATGGAGTGTCTTCTCCTTCCCCAGAGTTGGCGAGCGACGTGCTGAGCAGCCTGTTGGAGTCCACCGTTACCCTGATCTGCCCAGGTGGGGATCAGGAAGACAATGCCACCATTCACTGGGTGTACAGGAATCAGGTCGCAAACTCACATGGGGACAGACTGGTTGGCGAGGGAAGGGGGCTGCTTCTGAGGTCGGTGCAGCTCCATGACTCTGGAAACTATTCGTGCTACCAGGACGGCCGCCCGGCTGGGAGTGTGCATCTGCTGGTGGATGGTGAGTTGTCTTCAGAGGTCTGGGGCGGCATTGTGCATTCCAGACAGAGTCCCTGCTTGACCCGTTAAACTCCTGTTACTTCCTTGGCCCGAGGATTTCAAGGAAAGGCCCACTGACGTCTGCCAGTGAGACTGACGGAGGTTCCTGGTGGGTGGAGGCATGTGGCTGATGGGAACACCGTCCAGCTGGCCTTGTGCAGTTAGGGCTTGAGGGGGACTGGTTAGTGTCATAGAGGCTGGAGCAGGATGGGCTGGGTTTGAATCCTCCTCCTTCCCAGCTTAACTTCTCCACCCCTCAGTTTTCTTGTTGGTAAAATAAGGTTAATTTTATTACCTTGACACAGCGTTGTTGAAAAGATGTGTATGCATGCGGAGGGCGTTGAAAACTCTGCATACTAGCTTTCCAATGTTCAGTTCTTATTTTTAGAATGCTCCGGCTTCTAGATACCCCCGTGCCAGGCCCTTCCTTCCCTGGTCTCTCATGTCATTCTTTCAGTGATAATGTGAGAGAAAGCAGGGTCATCATCATTATTATTCTGCCCTCACTTAGTTTTGTAGTAGGAAACTGAAGAGGGCTGGGACTTGCTCAAGGTCACACAACCCAGCCTGTGGACCCCCACGCCCTTCTCTCCCCTCGAGACACGTTAGCCTCGGCCCTGCCTCTCTTCACTCGCCCCACTCCCCAGCCCGAGGACTTCCTGGTCCTCTTAGATCTGTAGATCTGGGGGTGGCTGTTTGGCTCCAGGGCCCTGGGCGTGGGGTGGGCAGCTGGGCTGAGCCGGCGCTCCCCCCGGGAGGGAGGCGGGTGCTTCCTCCTCATGCCTGCTGTGCTCTCCTTTCAGCCCCTCTTGAAGAGCCCCAGTTCTCCTGCTCCCGGAAGAGCCCCATCGTCAATGTTCTTTGTGAGTGGACCCCTCAGAGCCCCCCGTCGCCGAGCACCAGGGCTGTGCTACTGTTGAGGAAGTTGTGAGTATCTTGGTCTGCCGCCCTGTGGGTTGTTCCTGTCTCCCCCATCCCTACGAAGCCCCACGAGGGCGATGGTGCTTGCCAAGGAGCCAAGTGGGACTGGCCGGCCAGTGATTCCAAAATATTATCCTCTCAAGTAATTACTTTGGAATGAGGAGGAGGGAATGTGAGAGGGAACTGAAGCTTCCAATCCTGCGCTCACCAGCCCTGGGCACTGTGCTCCGAGCTGTGTCTGGTTAGCTGTTGCAATAGCCCTGGTAAGGGAGTGTTATTTCCTTCTCGGTTTCACAGATGGAGAAACTGAAGTGCAGAGATAGATTAACTTGTTTAAGGTCCTTGCTGGTAAGTGGGCTCTGTTGGGAATCAAACTCCAGTCTGTCTGATTTCAAATACAAAGGTTTTGGGCATTGCTCTGAACACAAGCAAATATCCCCACGATGGAAAGGCGGCCAGCTCATTATCAGCATCCTGACTAGGAGCCTATTGGGCAGGGAAGTGGCGACAGGGTGGGGAGAGGGTGCAGGGGCCTGGGGGCAGGAGGTCACACTTGTCAGGGGACCCTACTGCAGCAGAGACGCAGAAAGTGGGGGAACCTGGGATGAGCTCTGGTGTGGATGTGTCCAAGGTGGAAAAGGCGGAAAACAAATACACTTCTGCGTGCATTTGTTTGTCTCCATCCCATAGCCAGGGTCCCCTTAGTCCCGATGTTTATAATTGAGTTTGAGCTGTCAGTGATCAAAGTATCAACACATCTGAGCAGCGACTTCAGCAGGATGGTTTGGTTTCCACTCGTGTCTGTCTCCAGAGAGCTGCCTGCTGGGGATATTTATGCTCTGCTCTCTGCACAGAAATGTGTAGATTGCCTGTCAGCACGTGATGCTTCCGTGATGGGACTGATAGCTCACACCCCCAGGCGGGGAGGTCAGAAATCTCCTCAACCTGAAGCTGGGTTTGGATATAAATTGTTTGGGGTCTGGAAGGCAGTCCTGTCCAGACTGGATGTTCTGCAGAGTGGCCAGCAGCTGTCCAGACCAGCCCACGGAAGTGTACGCAGTTGGCACTTCAACCAGAACACTGAGTGTGTGACATGAAGAGAGAGAATGAGGCATTTAAGGCACTCTCTTCTCCTGCCAGCAGCCTCAGGCACCTCGTACCCCCTCCTGGGCTCCGAGCATCCGCACTGACCCGAGGGAGGGGGTGGGGAGTGCCTCTGAGGGTCTCAGGGACCCCAGAACCCCCTCAGGCCCCTCCTGGCCCCGTGAGACTGCTGGAGCCCCTAGAATAAGGTCTGTGTGTTCTGCTTTATTCTTGGTGTGTGTGCACACCCTTGCCCTACTATGTTCTCCCCTCATTTTGTCCACAAAAATTTGGTGAGTACAGCATGTGCTGTGGGCTAGGCCCTGTTCTAGGGCTGAGGAGAGGCCCAGGGTGAGCAAGCCTGGGCCCTGCCCCCTGCCCCACAGCGGGTATAAGCCAGCTGACCACTCCACCTTCTCAGTGTTAGATGGGATTGGAGCCTGGGCATCTTGCAGGGAGGGCAGCTCTACTGCAGGCTGGGAAGGGTGGGGCAGGCTTCCCCAAAGTAAAGAATTTGTCCTGGGCCCCGGGTTTAAACCCCATCCAGAGGTGTGATGAGTCATTGCCCCAGCGGCAGGGTGAGTGGCTGCCGTGGACTCACATGCCCACACATGTCAAAAATGGGAGAAGTGTCAGGCTTCCAGACCAGGTGGGATGTTGTCTGACTCACCTTGAATATCTTCAGTCACCCAGAAATCTTCTGGGCTCGCCTGCCGGAAATCCCCCCACCTCCTTGTGAAGCCCACTAGCACTTCCGGAATGGCATTTCTACTGGCTGTCCTACTCTTCTGAAGACAAGCCTTTTTTTGTTGGTGCCTTGAGGACAGGGAGGAGCTTCTGTGATTCATTCTGCATCTCCCACCATGCCCAGAACACAGGACCTGGCAGGAATCCAGAATGCACCGCAGATCTAATGCCCCCATGACTGAGTGTGCCATTTAGACCAGGACTTTTGACCCACCCTGCCGGGCGCTAAGCTAGATATTTTATACTCCTTTTTGCATTAATCCGAATAAATCCCTCTGAGTGGGTGTTGATAATACTCCCATTTTCCACTGAGAAAACAGAGGCTCAGAGAGGTTGGATAATTTACTCAGTCTCAAGAATTCCTAAGTGTGGAGAGGGGAGCGGGTCAGACTGCCCAGACTGGGCTTCTAGCCCCCTCCCCTTCTCCACGCCTGCTCCCCTGTAAGTGCAGACGCTGACAGTTAGCCCCACCCTTGTTTTGTGCGGACAGTCCCTTGGAAGAATTCCAGAGGCCATGCAAGTATTCTCCGGAGACCCAGAAGTTCTCTTGCCAGTTGGTGGTCCCAGAGGGAGACAACTCTTTCTACATAGTGTCTCTGTGTGTCACCAACAGTATTGGGAGCAAGCTCAGCAAAGCCCAAACATTTGAGGGGTACACAGTCTGTAAGTAAGCTCCTTATCTTTTGGTTTAATAGCCCTGGGGACTTCTTGGAGGAGCAGGGAGGGAGTTGGGTGAGGGGTTTGGTGAGCTGATGCCTTTTGATCTTTACTTTGCCAGAGGTTGGACTGTGGCAGACAGGGGCCCTGTCCTGCCTGGGGATGTGGCCTGGTGCTGGGGGTAGGATCCCGCCTGTCCAGGGGGTTTTGCAGGGACTTCACAGGTCTCTCCTTTGCTCCACACTTGCTTCCACAGAGGATCCATGTTCCCTTTTCCCACAGTGCAGCCTGACCCACCTGTCAACATCACAGTCACTGCTGTGGACCGGAAGCCCCGCTGGCTCAATGTCACCTGGGAATACCCCCCCTCCTGGAACTCATATTTCTACAGGCTGCGGTTTGAGCTCCGGTACCGGGCTGAACGATCAAAGACATTCACAGTGTGGATGGTAAATTCTTCTTTTACTTTTGGATGGAAAAGTGCCCCTTGATACTTGGGGTAGGAGAAAAATAAGAAGTGGGTTCTGGGTTCTGCTTTACAACTGACTACCTGAATAGCATTGGTTAAGTCCCTGAACGTCCCTGAGCTGTGGTTACCACATTGATTAACTGGGAATAATAATACCAGGCCATCTCCTCTTTGCAGGCCTGGTGGTGAGAGAGAGTGTGGCCTGGGGAGATCTAGGCTACAAGCACGTCAGGTGCGGCCTGTAGGATTCCACAGTGCGTCAGGATGGGGGCATGGCTTACAGCTTCTGCCTGGGTCAGCCTGGAGGGCAACCCCATCTCTGAGTCTCGGAGGTCTCTGCCAGGCTGAGTCACTCCCTGGACCTCAGAGATGGTACAGTTGAAGGCAGGGGCTGGTGGGGCTGCCTAACCAGTGCCACTGTGCCTCCCACCATCAGGCCAAGGACTTCCAGAATTACGGAGTCATCAACGATGCCTGGAGGGGCATGAGGCACGTGGTGCAGATTCGGGCCCAGGAGGAGTTCGGGCATGGCGACTGGAGCGAGTGGAGCCAGGAGGCCATGGGCACCCCTTGGATAGGTACTGTGGTGGGCGTGGAAGGGACATTTGAGTTGTTAACTATACCAGTTACCGTTGCTATGTAACAAGTTACCCCCAAGCAAGTGGTAAAGCAGCAACCATTTATCTGCTTAAGATTTTGAAAATAAGTCAGCCAGCCAGCTCTGTGCTGGCCTTGCCGGAATCACTAACACAGCTGCCAAAGGCCTGCGTGGCCCGCGGTGGCCTCGCTCACATGGCTCCCAGCTGGCGTTGGCTGGTGGCTGGGGCCCTGGGTTCTCTCTGTGGCCTGTCACATTCTAGTAGGTCAGTCCAGACTCAGGAGTGTGGGGAGTGACTCCACAACTTGATGGGGGGAGCTGAAAAGGATTTGTAGCTACATTTAATCTTCCCATTACTAACGGTTTTTATTTTTAACAAGAGGTTAAAGGTAATACTAACTTGCCTTTGGGGAATGATTGAAGTTAGTGTCTGTGATATAGAACCTGAAAAACTCCAGAAAAATATGAAGAATAATTATCACCAGTATTCTGACCACCCAGAGAACACCAGTGACATTTTAGTATTCTTTTCATTTTGTATGTACATGTATATGTGTACACACACACACACACACAGACACGTGTGTGTGTCTGCAACAGTGTGAACATTCTCATTACTACATTTTTTGGAAATGTGTTGTTCAGTAACAGCATGATTAATGTTGTAACCAATGGGAATTTTTTTGACTAAAATTTTTTTTTTATCAAATTAATACATGTCATGGCAAAGATACAAAGGAGGGCTTATGATAACAATTGGTGTCCCTTGCCCCACTCCATCCCACTTACAGCCCTGCTTTCTAGAGGAAGCAGATTCACTTTCTGTGTCTAGTTCTTAGGTTGGTGTCCTCCTTAACTCTGAATAAGCTAATATGACTGTTTCTCTCTTACTTTTTTTTTCCTGGGAAAACAATTTAAGACATTATCTCTTGACTCCTTCCTATGAAAGAATAGGATTTAGCAGACCCAGTGCAGGAGTCCTCCTGATTACAGGCCAGAGAGCGGTCACCCAGCTTCTGCTTGAATGCTTCCAGAGGCGGAGAGCTTACCACTCCTTGTTAACAGACTTTTCTGTTGTTCCAGTGTTCATATTGTCGAATGGCTTCCAGGCTTGCTTCAGTGTTAAATTTTAGCCTAGCAGCATAATTAAACCAAATGAGTTGTTCTTAGACATCAGGCAATTAAAAAAAAAAAGAATAAAATACTCATGTATTGAATGTGTAGGAATTAAAAGGAAAAGATAGAAATTGCATCAATTGCCCAGGCCCATCCCTACCCCTGCCAGTTTCTCCCACCCCTGGCCCCAGGGAGGAGATTTTTATGTGTAGGCTTCCCCAGAATGGGTGCTGTGGTGTGATGGCTTTTCCTCCTCCCTGGCTTTGCAGTGTGAGGTCCTCATCTTCCCTCTCCTGGGAGAGCCAGAGGAATGGGCTTGGGGCTTAGGATTTCTTCCAATTTGGATACACATAATGTCAAGTGCCAGCTCAGATCTTGGTGCTTGTTGCATCTCCTTAGGAGGCAGCTTTCTATTGGACCCTCTTCTCAAAAGCTATTTCCTGTTAAGTTCTGGACAAGAAGGGAGGCCAACTATTCTGTCTTACTTAGGAAAACCATTTAAATAAACCAGAACATCCTTTAGGCTACATTGTGTTGACCTGTCCACAGTTGTCTTGGATTTGGATACACTTTGAGTCAAAACATGCTCGGTATTTGAATGCAGAACATTAATATGGCCCAGGAAGCCTTTGCAAGGGGAGAAAAATTATTTACAACATCGTGCAGTGTAGGGGAAATGTTCCGGATGTCGGCCAACACCTGTTTGCTTTTTATTCCAACCGTTTAACTTAGATGGTCACAAACAGCTTTAAGAAATCCTGTTCTAGTAGAAAGTTATTTCTTTCTTTAAAAATTTTTTAAATTGTAAAATATATACAACTTAAGATTCCCCATTTGAACTATTGTTAAGTATGCGGTTTAGTGGCATTGGGCACATTCATATTGTGCAACTATTGCCATCATGCATCCAGAACTCTTCATCTTGCAAAACTGAAACTCCATACCCATTACACATTCAACTCCCCAACCCCTGGCCACCACAATTCTACTTTCTGTCTCTGTGAGCTTGACTGCATGAGGGACCTCCTGTCAGTGGAATCATACACTATTTCTCTTTGTGACTGGCTTATTTCACTGAGCATAATGTCCTCCGGATTCATCCATGTTGTAACATATGTCAGAATCACCTTCCTTTTTTAGGCTGAATAGTATCCCGTTGTAGGTATAGACCACATTTTGTTTATCCATTCATCTGTGGATGGCTACTTGGGTTGCTTCCAACTTCTGATTATTGTGAAAAAGGCTGCTGAAAACATGGGTGTACAAATATCTGGTCTCTGCTTTCAATTCTTTTGAGGCTATCCCCAGAAGTAGAATTGCTGTATCATATGGTAGCTCTATTTTTAATTTTTTGAGGAACTGTCATATTGTTTTCCACAGGGGCTGCACCATTTTACATTCTTATCAGCAATGCACAGGGTTTCAACTTCTTCACATCTTTGCCGATACTTACTATTTTCTGTTATGATTTTTTTTCTATGATAGCTCTCCGAATGGGTGTGGAGTGGTATTGTGGTTTTGATTTGCACTTCCATTAATGATTAGTGATGTTCAGTATCACTTTATGTGCATACTGGCCATTTGAATATCTTTTTTTGGAGATATTCAAGAAAGAAATACCTATTCTTTCTCAGGTGAACTGAACTCTGGCCTCACTGGGTCTTGCTATATTCTCTGGGGAAATCCGTATAAGTCCACTCGTCTGCTCTTCTAAATTCTTCTGGGATTCCCAGAGGAATCACATTTGTTTGCAGTCTTCCCAGACTTCTATATGGGACAGCTTGTGGGTCCTAACCTGTTTGGTCACCTTGCCTTGAACCTGGTCTCATTTGTGGATGTCCCTTTTTCTTTCTCTTTCTTCTTCTTTTCTTTAAACAGATTTTTAGGAGATTTTATTAGTGTATTGATGCCTGGCTAGTTACCAAAAACACAAGGGCATGGCCATCTTTGCTTCATTCCCTATAAGTGCATTTTATTTTATTTTTAAATTATTTTTTATTTTCTAATTTAAAAAAGTTGAAGTGTAGTTGATATGCAATATTTGATTCAAATGTGCAACTTAGTGATTTGACACTTTTATACGGAATACCACAGGAAGTGTACTTACAATCTGTCACCATACCAAGTTTCTACAATGTTATGGACTGTATTCCTATGCTATAGTTTTCATTCCCGTGACTTATTTATTTTATAATTGGAAGTTTGTACCTCTTTACTCTCTTCCCCTCTGACAATCACCAATTTGTTCTCTTTTTTTGTTTGTTTTTTGTTGAGATTTCATTTTTTAGGCTCCACATGTAAGTAAAATCATATGGTGTTTGTCTTTCTGTCTGACTTATTTCAGTTAACATGATACCCTCTAGGTCCATCCATGTTGTCACAAATGGCAGGATTTCCTCCTTTTTTATGGCTGAGTAATATTCCATAGTGTGTCTATGTATATCTTCTTTATCCATTCATCTATTGATGAACACTTAGGTTGCTTCCATATCTTGGCTCTTGTAAATAATGCTGTACATATAAGAGGGTACACATATCTTTTCAGATTAGCCATTTTGTTTTCTTCAGGTAAATACTGAGAAGTGGAATTACTGGATATATGGTATTTCTTATTTTTAATTTTTGAGGAACCTTCACACTTTTCCATAGTGGCTGCACCATTTTACATCCCCACCCGCAGTGCATGAGGGTTCCCTTTTCTCCACATCCTCACCAATAGTTGTTATTTCTAGCCTTTTGGATACTAGCCATTATGACCAGTGTGAGGTGGATGTCCCTCTTTGAATTATTGATATCCTCCCAACAGTGGAAGGCTGTGTCACAGGGGCCACCTGGCCAGCACTGGGTACAGCTTCCCACTTTAAGCCTTGGGCCGCTGTGCTTCCGGGACTTGCTAGAGTGACTGTGTGAGCTCAGCAGAACACTTAACTTCTCACATAAGCAGCTCAAGAGTTCGCATCCTTCTCCTGTACATGTGTGGTTTGTGGGGAGCTGGGGGGCGGATATCTTCAAAACCACAGTGGTGAACATATCCACAAGAGAAACCAGCTGCTCCCTCTCCACGGAGGGCAGAACAGGAGGAACGGATTCAAGAGGGATTCAGGTTGGAAGTTGGGGAGCACTTAGGAAAATGACAGGGAGGTTAGAGTGCCCGGTTGGGTGTGTCTCTCTGGCAGTGAGGTTCTCCGGCTGGTTGGGATGGGGCTGTGCACTAGATGCTGTATCCACAGGCTTCCTGGCCCCAGGGACCTCCAGCTCTTGGAGCCCAGCCACAGGATGCCCCTGCCTGTCAGCCTAGGTGTGGGGATGGTGACCTCTGGGGGACATGGAGCTTATGGGAAGCACACTGGACCTGGGAGTCATGCTGTGTGACCTTGGTAAAGTTTGTTACCTTTCAGAGCCTCAGTTCTGTCATGTGTAAAGTAGACATGGTATAACCTGTCTTGTCCTCTTTGGAGAAGTTTTTATGAGTCCAGTGAAAAAACATTCTTTAGAAATAATAATGCTTATTGCAAATGTAGGGGGATTAGCAATTATAGCGTGGTGTTGGCTGGTTCTCGGGGTGCAGAGGGTGAGGTTGCGGACATCTCAGAATTACCACCCTGCTCATCCTGGACGCATTGAATCAATCTGGAGGGGAAGGGTCGTTTGAGAAAGCTTTCCCAGCGATGACAGAATGTACTGGGGCTGGGGGAGGAGAGGGCATCCCCTGTAATACGTGCCATAAGGCCCTGGGGCATGCCAACAGTTCTTGCAGCAGCTTAGGAAGGTCAGGGAAAGCTTCATGGAAGAGGTGACATTTGAGTTCTGTCTTGGAGGATGTGTGGGAGTGTCCCAGACAGAGAATGGGGATTACAGGCGGGG